AAGATTTTTTTTAAATGGCACCCGTTCCAGATAGTCTGACGTCCTGTTTTTTGTTTTTGTTTTAAATTGCGCACTGGAACAATCAGATAGGGGAAAGTCCACGAGTGGTCCGTCGGAACCAAAAACTCTAGATTTAAAGTAGTATCATAGAATCATAGAATCATAGAATGTTAGAGTTGGAAGGGACCTTGCAGGTCATCTAGTCCAACCTCCTGCACTCTGCAGGAAACCCCCTGCACTCTGCACTCTGTATCTTTTTAGCACGGCTCCTAAGCGTGGCAAAATGGGATGCTCATAGAAGACGGACGTTTCCCAGATGTTGATGTCTAGACGTTACATTTAAATCCATGAGGCCCCCATGCCTCGCGCGGATCTAAAGAGCCGTCTGAACGCACCCACTGCGTTCCCTATGTTCATCCAATCCCCTCTTGAAGCGGTCTTGTGCCTGTAGCTGCCACCGCTTCTTGTGGCTAGAAACTTAGCTGCTGCCTTTTGGGTAACTGAATACTGTGATTTTCAAGATGAACACATGAAGCTGCCTTATACTGAACCAGGCCATTGGTCGATCTAAGTCTGCTCAGACTGGGAGTGGCTCTCCAGGGTCACAGGCAGAGAAAGATCATTCACACCACCAGTTACCATGTCCTTTGAACTGGAGATGCGGGGATTGAACCTGAGACCTTATGCGTGCCAAGCAGAGGCTCTACCACTGTGAGTCACAGGCCCTCCTCTGAGTACTGGATTCTGCTGCTGTTTCCAGTCTCTGCACTGATGTGGCACAGTTTCCAGAGGCACAGGAGGCACCAAGCCCTGTTTCTAAGAGCACATTTGGAGACCCAGATTTATCAGTCATTCCCCCAGAAGCTCTGGGGAAAACATCATTTGGGAGAAGTCTCTAACGGAGAATTCTCAGCACCGTCACTAAAGTCCAATTCGCAGGATTATTTGTAGGGAGTGAAAACTGGCAATAAAACTAGATTCAGGAGGGTAGCCCTGTTGGTCTGAAGGAGCAGAAAAAAATTCAGGTCCAGTAGCACCTTTGTTGTTGTTGTTCAGTCGCACAGTCGAGTCCGACTCTTCACGACCCCATGGACAAGATCATGCCAGGCCTTCCGGTCTTCCGCCGTCCTCCGGAGTCTTCTCAACTTCATGTTCGTTGCATCTATGACACTGTCCAGCCATCTCATCCTTTGCCGTCCCCGTCTTCTTTGACCTTCAATCCTTCCCAGCATCAGGGTCTTCTCCAGTGAGCGCTCCCTTCTCATTGGGTGGCCAAAGTATTTGAGCTCCAGCTTCAGTCTCTGGCCTTCCAGGGAACAGTCAGGGTTGATATTTTTTAGGATTGACTGATTTGGTCTCCTTGCAGTCCAAGGGACTCTCAAGAGTCGTCTCCAGCACCATAATTCAAAAGAATCTATTCTTCAGTGCCTGGCCTTCCTTAGGGTCCAACTCTCGCAGCCGTATATTACTAAGCACAGAGGTCATTTCGGGGGGGAACGCGGGGGAACGCAGTTCCCTGGGTGAGGTGCAGGGGGCGGGGCACACGATGAAGCCCCGCCCCCTGCTTCCGGCCGCCCCGCTTCCAGCCCTCATTCAGCCAGGAGGAGGCAGGAAAAGAGGGAGGGTAAGTTCCTTCCTCCCCGCCTCTCCCCACCCCTGCCTGCCTGGGGCCAGGGAGAGCCTTGGCGGGGCTTCCTCGCACTCCCGCCGGCCTTGCAGGTCCACCACCGGGCCCCTGATGTCAGGGGGTGTGGCATATGCTAATGAGTTATGCTAATGAGTTTCCCTAGCTCTTTTTCTACGAAATGACCCCTGACTAAGCACCTTTAAGACCATGCAAAGTGCACGCACACGAACGCTTACACACCCAGAATAAAACTTGGTTGGTCTTAAAGGTGCCACCGGACTCAAAGTTTGTTCTGGCAGTAAAACTGGTATTCTCAGTCAGAAAATGCAAGATGAAGTACACTTGTCTGTTTTATTGCTGAGACGACACCCATACACTGAGAACAGAACTGCTGGGTTTATGCGTCGTCCCCTCGCCAGGTCTAATTCTCCAAATCCTCAAGGCGGGGGGGGGGAATTCCCAGTGGTTTTTTGGTGGGGGAGGGGGTTGTGTTTGGTGCCTTTGTACCTGCGACCAGCAAGCCTCCACAGGCCTTATCATCTCCTTCAGAATTCAGCCCTTCACCATCTCCTCTGATTCCCTCTTGAAGGGATTGTTTCTCCTTTGTGAACGGCTGCCCCAGTTCTTGTGGGAACAGATTGCAAACCTAATCTGTCTGGGACACAGCGATTAGCAGTTAACTCCCTAGACCACACAGTTTTGCTGAGTCTGTCGGTGTTGACACTTGTCGAGGCATTTATTTTAAAGCGTTTGGGTGCAAAGAGAGTTACAGCTTTTAAAGACCTCGGCTTGCAAATTCGACAAATAAAAGAAGCAGCATGAGAAAGTGTGCAGCATGGGTGCTGGAGCCAGGTGGCAGGTGGAGTGCACACAAGAAGAAGAAGAAGAGATTGGATTTATACCCCACCCTTCACTAACCAGAGGAGACCTCTTTCTCTACCTGCTCTTTCCCATGCATCATCTTATAAACCTCGATCAGGTCACCCCTCAGCCTTCGTTTCTCCAAGCTAAAGAGCCCCAAGCGCTTTAACCTTTCTTCACAGGGAAAGTGTTCCAACCCTTTTATCAGTCTAGTTGCCCTTTTCTGCACTTTTCCCAATGATATAATATCCTGAAATCTCATCAGATTTCAGAAGCTAAGCAGGGTCGGCCTTAGCTAGCACTTGGAAGGACGACCTCCAAGGAATACCAGGGTTGTGATGCAGAGGCGGGCAATGGCAAACCACCTCTGAAACGTCTCTCGCCTTAAAAACAAGTCTAGCTCTCCACCTGGTGGTGCATAACACTAAAGGAGCTAGAACCTCTGGCTGCCAGACAATCTGAAGATCTCCCGGCTATTCTACACACAACGTCCTACCGTAATTAATTAATTAGATCTTGGAAGCTAAGCAGAGTTGGCCCTGGTCAGTATTTGGACAGGAGACCACCAAGGAACCCCAGGGTTGCTACGCAGAGGCAGGCAACGGCAAACTGCCTCTGTATGTCTTTTGTCCTGACCTGGATGGCCCAGGCTAACCCAATCTCAAACAAATCTCAGAGGCTAAGCAGGGTCTGCCCTGGTTAGTACTTGGAGGGAAGACCTCCAAGGAATTCCAGGGTTGCTACGCAGAGGCAGGCAACGGCAAACTGCCTCTGTATGTCTTTTGTCCTGACCTGGATGGCCCAGGCTACCCAATCTCAAACAGATCTCAGAGGCTAAGCAGGGTCTGCCCTGGTTAGTACTTGGAGGGGAGGCCACCAAGGAACCCCAGGGTTGCTACGCAGAGGCAGACAACGGCAAACTGCCTCTGTATGTCTTTTGTTCTGACTTGGATGGCCCAGGCTAGGCCGATCTCAAACAGATCTCAGAGGCTAAGCAGGGTCAGCCCTGGTTAGTACTTGGATGTGGGACCACCAAGGAATCCCAGGGTTGCTATGCAGAGGCAGGCAACGGCGAACCTCCTCTGCTCATCTCTTGCCTTGACCTGGATGGCCCGAGCTAGCCTGATCTCAAACAGATCTTGGAAGCTAAGCAGGGTCAGCCCCGGTTAGTATTAGGATGGGAGACCACCAAGAAAGACTTTGGTTGCTACGCAGAGGCAGGCAACAGCAAACCTCCTCTGCTTGTCTCTTGCCTTGACATGGATGGCCCAGGCCAGTCCGATCGCAAACAGATCACAGAAGCTAAGCAGGTTCAGCCCTGGTTTGGACTTGGAGGGGAGACCACTAAGGAAGTCTAGGGTTGCTACGCAGAGGCAGGCAACGGCGACCCTCCTCTGTTTGTCTCTTGCCTTGACATGGCTAGCCTGATCTCAGCAGACCTTGTAAGCTAAGTCAGGGTCAGCCCTGGTTAGTACTTGGATGGGAGACCACCAAGAAAGACTTTGGTTGGTATGCAGAGGTAGGCAACGTGGCAAACCACCTCTGTTCCTCTCTTGCCTTGAAAAGCCTACAGGGCCCCCGGTCACACGGGCCGGATATCGCGGGGGGGGGGGAGGCGTGGCTAATTGCCCCGGAGGAAACTAATGCGCTGCCGCCCGAGCACACGTCCCGGTCGAGGTCCCGTGGTTCGGGGGAAATGCCGATCAGACGGGTATCCTGCAGCGTGGCACAGAAGCTACGCCGCGCGATCGCACTAGCAATCGCTCTTTGTGCGCATGCGCTGTTGGGCGCTGTTGCACAACCTGCGGAGACGAACAGCGGCGGGCGGCGGATGCCACGTAAGTCCACGGGAATGCGATCAGACGCCCGCCCTTGGCCCGCGGTTTCAGGAAACTAGTACCTCGTAGGTACTAGTTTTTAACTCCGCACCTTCGGCGGGGAGCCACAGGTTTGCCATGGGAGCACTGCGCTTCCCAGATGTTGGGGTGAGATCGCGCCCGGAAAATCCGCTTGACTTGACGGGCACTTTCCACCACCACCGTACGACATTTATTTAAATAAGCTTACTGGAAATCTTTCGGGGATAAAATGCAAGAGGAAAGTAAGCCCTGAACACACGTTCGTCATGCCTTTACCGACGCCTCCTGGCAGTTCTTAATTCCACGCTCTGCCTCAAGAGCGTTGCGACACACGGCCTCGCAGCAGTTTCATAACCAGCAGTGGATTTTTTGTGTGTTTGTTTGTTTGTCTTAGTCGCCCTGTAAACCAACCCCAAACTCACTAAATGTCTGTTTTGGGGGAAGAAGCCGATGAGTGTGTCTTTGGAAGGGGGGAAAGGGCTCCTAGGGAAAATGACGAGTCCTTTTTCTTGCGGTTTTGGTGATGGTGGTGGTGGAGGAGGGTGGCTTTGGAGCAGGGCGGGGCCCCAACGTCAAGGCGGGTGACTCAGTTTTTTGTTGCAAGCTCTCAGCTAACCAGAGTGTCGAGCGGGTTATAAAAGGGCTGTCGACGGGGCGGAGGCAGCACTCCAGAAGCAGCCCAGAAGCCCGAGGAGGAAGAAGGAGAACCGTCTAGGCAGGAACTGAAGGCGAGAGGGGAGACTCCAGCCAACGCAGGATGAAGATGCTCGCGATCCTTCTGGCCTCCTGGCTGGCGCTGGCGGGATCAGCCACGGTGGGGCCCAAAGGTGAGTCTACGGGAGACAGAAGTAAACTCTCCCAGGCTGTATCTCTGTTCTTTCCAGTTTGGTGTAGTGATCCAGTTTGGTGTCGTGGTTAAGTGCGCGGACTAAAATCTGGGAGAACCGGGTTTGGTTCCCCACTCCTCCACTTGCACCTGGCTGGATGGCCATGGGTCAGTCACAAGTTCTCTCAGAGCTGTTCTCTCAAGGACAGTCCTTGAAAGAGCTCTTTCAGCCCCACCTACCTCACAGGGTGTCTGTTGTGGGGAGGGGAAGGGAAGGGAAAGGAGATTCGTAAGCCGCTCTGAGACTCCTTTGGGTAGTGAAGTGTGGGGTATAAATCCCTCCTCCTCCAGTAAGGTGTAGTGGTTAAGTGCGCGGACTCTAATCTGGGAGAACTGGGTTTGATTCCCCCACTCCTCCACTTGCAGCTGCTGGATGACCTTGGTCAAGCCACAGTTCTGTCAGAGCTGTCCTTGAAAGGGTAGTTTCTCTCAGAGCTCTCTCAGCCCCACCTACCTCACAGGGTGGGAAAGGGGAGGGAAAGGAGTTTGTGAGCCGCTCTGGGACTCCTTTGGGTAGTGAAGGGCGGGGTATAAAGCCAATCTCCTTCTTCTTGATCAAAGGCAATCCATGCGTTGGGCTGCCGGTGAGAAGGGCAGAGCTGTTAGGCGAGATCCGCAAGAATAGTCAGGATGATGCGCTAGAGAATGTCCTCTCACAGTGCGATCTGTGCTCCTGATTGCAGCTAACGACATGTCAGGACCAGCGCTCCCACTAAGCTGTGGCGAGTCTTGTGAGCAAAAATCCTGCTTCGTGAGCTACTTGCCTTAAAATTGTGAGCAAACGATTTGGCTGCTGCATAAATTAGTTTGCTCCGGAGTCCTCCTTCCTGAGTGAAGACAAAAAAAATGTGTGAGCCGGAGGCTAAAAAAACTGTGAGCTAGCTCACACTCACTCGGCTTAGAGGGAACCCATGCTCCCTCTAAGCTGTGGAGTCGTGAGCAAAAATTCTGCTTTGTGAGCTGCCGGCATTAAAGTTGTGAGCGAGGGATTTGGCTACTGCATAAATTAGTTTGCTCTGGAGCCCTCCTCCCTGAACGAAGACAAAAAACTGTGAGCCGTAGGCTAAAAAACTGTGAGCTAGCTCACACTCACTCAGCTTAGAAGGAGCATTGGTCAGGACCGGCATTGGCCATGCCACTGCGAATTCGGGCCGGTGACAAATTCTTGCAAAGTGCGGTACCGGGCGGCGAACAGAGTCCTGGCTTGGTGGGAGAGCACTAGGCTTGCCTGCCAACGGCCCCGGGTTCGGTCCAAGCCTTGTCCACAGAAAGGACCTTCTCATGAAGCTAGGTCCAGAGGGCAGCCGTGTCGGTCTTCAGTTGAAGAGCACGATTCGAGTCCAACGACACCTTAGAGCCCAACAAGATTTGGCGGGACGTAACCTTTCAAGAGCCAACGCTCCTTTGGGATCTGAGGAAGGGAGCTCTTGACTCTCAAAACCTTCTGCCCCCCCCCCAAATCTGGCTGGTCTCTATGGCCCCGCTGGACTCGAATCTAGGACCTCCTCAGGCACCAAGAGCTGGGAGAGGCGCTTCTCTGCCCGAGACCCTAGAGATGATGGAAATAATGAAAGAACCACAGCTGCCAACTTGAAGAGCAGAAAGGAAACAACACTGTGTGTGACACTATAATGATACGGCATTTCATAGAATCATAGAATGTTAGAGTTGGAAGGGACCTTGCAGGTCATCTAGTCCAACCCCCTGCACTCTGCAGGAACGTAGCCGAATGATAGCCCGAAACATACCCGAAAGATAGTTGTCCAGCCTCCGCTTGAAAACGTCCAGCGAAGGAGCATCCGCCACCACCCTTTACACGAACATACCTGTAAATACTTTAACAGCATACAACATGTCATAACGTTATTAAATTAAAGTACAGAATACAAAAACTGAAGAAGGTCCAAGAATAATCTTATTCTTATTCTAACGAAGTTTCCAGATAATGCTTCCGTTTCCAAGGTCTTCCTCAGAGAAGAACCAGTTATAACTGTGTAAAACATTAAATTCAGTGGTTACCGAAAGGTTACAAAAATAGTTATTTATGCCATTTTAAAATATTAAAAGTATTGTAAATATTATGGGATTATTCTCACACCTTCAGTTTTTGTATTCTGCACTTAGATAGCTTTATTAAATCTTGCATGCTGTTAAAGTATTGACAGATATGTTCGTGTAAATGCTGTGAGTATCATTATAGCGTCACACACAGCCTTGAGACCCTGGAGAGCCACTGAAAGTCTGGCTTGGCACTTTGCGGGCAGCTTCATACCCACACCTGTGGCCTGGCCTGCCCCTTACTTTTTGCCCCCCCACACCACCCCAAACCCCATTGCAGGAATCTGATGGCCAGGGCTTTATTTCTTGGGGGGAACGTGCCACAATAGAGTTCCAGAACCTCTTCGGCAAAACCCTTTTGAAAAATGTTTATGAGTTTGTGAGTTTTCATTACACAGTTTGGAAACTTCATTCCCCTCTTGAGAGTTCCGGCGCCTCTTTTCCCGAAAACAACAACAATAGAAAGGCCTGCTGATGGCCACTGAGACCCAGCATGGTCAGAGTGTCAAACTAGGATCTGGGAGAACCGGGTTCGAATCCCGACTCTGCCACGGGCGTTTGCAGGGTGACCTTGGGGCAGTCACGCACTCTCAGCCTCACCCACCTCAGAGGGTTATTGTAAGGATAAAATGGAGGAGGAGAAAATTATGTAAGCCTCCTTGGGTCCCCATTGGGCAGAAAGGTTGGGTACAAATAAAATAAATACATTAAAAAAACACCCCACTCCGAATGGATGCAGGGCTTAGCCACTTCATTGCAAGAATCCCGTGGTTTTCAAAACCCAGATCGTCCCTGTCATTTAACAGTCTCTAGAATGACAAAGACCTCTGATTAATCCCTGGGTGTAGAACTGTGCACACCTGGGCAGTTACTCAGAGCTCTTCACAGGCTAGGACAGAATCCAGTTAATTCCCAACCTCCGTATCCTGCCTTTGTTTTTGTGGTTGGATATTCCTGTCTTTTGGCCAGCGTAATACTGGTCTCTCTGTCTCCTTAACAGTCGGTAGAGGTTGTTTTGCCTGAATGGCACGGGCAAAATGGGGTTTCAAAGCAAGAGGTTTGTGGCTGGTTGCATCTTGGAACCCAGAACTTATTTACATGTTTAACTACTGCTGAACTGCAGGCTGTGGAAGGTCGGTAGTTCAGCAGTTCGAGACCCGGGTTGCCGCATGACGGAGTGAGCTCCCGTCTCTAGTTCCAGCTCCTGCCAACCCAGCAGTTCGAAAGCAAGAAATTGCAAGTAGATAAATAGGTACCACTTCAGTGGGAAGGTAACAGCGTTCCGTGCGCTTTGGTGTTTAGTCATGCCGGCCACATGACCACGGAAATGTCTTCGGACAGCGCTGGCTCTTCGGCTTTGAAACGGAGATGAGCACCGCAACCCTAGAGTCGGATTCGACTGGCTTTCGAGCAAGGGAACCTTTACCTTTACTATACGGGGCTGATAATTTTGACAACTCAAGTTTTGCAAGGCCGAAAACAAATTCCGAGCATTGCTGAATTTCGAACAGCTGGCCCAAGTTTCAGATTTGTTCCTATTTGTGTGCTGCGCTTAGCTTTAATTGAAAAAAGATGTAATTGCTTTTTAGGCCTACAGGCTCCTAACCTCTCTCTCTCTCTCTCTCCCTCTCTCCCCCATATCCTTCTCACTATGTGTGTGTGAGTGGAGAGAGACTCTGACTTCGGCTTCTAAAAGCCGGATTGTGTTGCAGTCTTTTGAAGAGCCCTGGAAATAATTCCATCCTTTTCATCCTTAGAGCTGCTCCCTCTAAGCTGTGGAGTCTTGTGAGCAAAAATTCAACTTTGTGAGCCCCTGGCATTAAAGTTGTGAGCGAACCATTTTGGCTGCTGCATAATTCGGTTTGCTCTGGAGCCCTCCTTCCTGAGCTAAGACAGAAATGTGTGAGCCGGAGGCTAAAGAACGGTGAGCTAGCTCGCACTAACTCATCTTAGAGGGAACACTGGCTTGGACTACAGCTGGTCATTACAGGGTGTATTCTGGAGGTTTGCCACGTGGATTATTGGACAGAGAGCATAAAGAAAAATGTTGTCGCAGTGCTCCCTCTAAGCTATGGCGCCTTGTGAGCAAAAATCCTACTTTGTGAGCTACTGGCGCTAAAGCTGTGAGTGAGCGATTTGGCTACTGCACAAAGTAGTTGGCTTTGGAGCCCTCCTTCCTGAGCAAAGACAAGGATGTGTGAGCCGGGGGTTAAAAAACCGTGAGCTATCTCACACTGACTCAGCTTAGAGGGAACACTGGCTGACTGTTTGCTAGCTAGCATGAAGTAAGTGTCTGAGGAAGTTGCAGCTGCGTACATCTGTTTGGGTTGAAAAGGGGAAATGCTCCTGCCAAAAGACGCATTCCCAGGTGGTGGCCTTCAGTCTCTCTGACAGCAGCCCCTTGCGACAGGTCACTAATGTCCCCTTTTTACAGACGGGGAGGACCAAGGGGCACATAATTTTGCCTTGACTTCACAGGGAGGCCACGGCAAAAGGTACTGCTTGGTCTCCTCTGGGTCACTCACGACGCCTGTTTCTCTGTCCACTGAACCACAGTGGCTCTGGTTACCCAGAAAGTGTTGGGTGTTCCCCCAAATCTTAAGGAAAACTGGGACACAGAGATAGGAACCCATTTTGGAAGGCCAGTCCCTTTCTCAATGGTGAGGCCCTGAAAAAGCAAAGCATGGTTTCTTGCATAAGAACATTCTAGATCAGACCAGGGAGGGTCCCTCTAGTCCAGCCTCCTGTCCCACACAGTGGCCTCAACCAGTTCCTCTGGAAGGCCAACAACAGGGCAGGGATGCCGAGGCCTTCCCCCTGAGAAGAACATCAGGAGAGCCCTGCTGGATCAGACCAGTGAGGGTCCATCCAGTCCAGCATCCT